TAGCCAAGGGGTTTGCTGATGAATTGAATGTGGGTTGAGATTGAGAAGCAAGGATGATACTGAGGTTTGGTTCAGAAAGTTAGGTGAATGGGGAGATGGGGAACCCTTAGGGAGGATCAAGTCTGGGTGAAAAAATTAAGATCTGGTTTTGGTTAGGGTCAAGATACTTATTCAAGTGGAGATGCTGGGGAGGCAGTTGGATTATGGCAGTGGTTCTCAACCTTCCTAATGCCGCAACCCTTTAATACAGTTCCTCATGTTGTGGTGACCCCTAATTTCATTGTTACAAATTGAACATAATTAAAGCATAGTGATTAATCACAAAAACAATATGTAATTAAATATGTGTTTTCCAATGGTCTTAGGCGACCCCTGTGAAAGGGTCGTTCGACCCCCAAAGGAGTCGCGACCTACAGGTTGAGAACCGCTGGATTATGGAGTTCAAGAAAGAGGTCAGGCCTGGAGAGAGATAGTTGAGAGTCATATTTGTGTAGTTCACCCAGACAGTGTATGTGTAGAGCTGAGAACTCTGTGTTTCTCCAACATTTAGAGGAGAAAGGTCCAACACAAGAGACTGAAATGAAGGTCTGGGTTAGTGATTGAGTTACCAAAATTAGGTCGGCGGGAACCATATAGATCTCTGTGATACGACAAGTCGCCTACTAAAAACAGTTCAAGTTACAAACGTAACAGCAGAACCACTGACATTATTAAAACAAGAGACTGGGATATTTTAGGTCTTGGTGTATCCATGAATTAATTTATACCTAAAAAGATGCCCCCAAACCTCCCTTTCTCCTCTGCTCCATTCCAGGGCATAATTAAACTACCATTTTGTTTCATCCATCAGCAGACTAGCAAAACGTGAACCGTTTAGACGTTTAACCGTGGATGAGAAATAGAACACAAAACACTCATGAATATGTGAATATGCCAAGTTATAAATAAGTGAATGTATAGAAGTGAAAAATTTTTAAACTTAATGTGAGAGGCTTATTGTTCTTTCCCTCCTCCCCCCCACACTCCGCCCCCCCTCAATTCTAAAACTATTGTTAATTGTCACGCATCCGCATAACCTAGGGAGCTTCAGCAAAATACCAATGACTGGGCTCTATCCCAGACCAATTAAATCAGAATTTCTGAGGCATCAACATTTTTTACATTTCTAACAATACTCCCCAGGAGTTTCTAATATGCAAGCAGGATTGAGAATTGCTTATCTTCATTTATATATCACTGTACATAGCTGTAATTATTATAACAAGTGCAATGATTTTTATCCTCTTCACTTAATATTATATCAGAAATATTTCTTTTTTGCATAATCTTTATAATTTAAGACTTTCATAATACAATGTTGCTATACTATCATACACTTATCCATTGTCCTATAGTTAAGATTTAGGTTGCATTGAACAGTTTGAAGCCATATATAACACTGCAATTAACAATTATTCCCCTGTCACACTGTATTCTGAGGCAGAATTTCAGGACATTATATGTGGTTCATAATACTCATTGCTTTCCAAACCTTTAAGTGATTTACAATCCCCTGGTGTATTTTGGAAATCAGATTTATGGCAATCTCACTCAGGTTGAGTGTAAGGATTTTTTTCTTTAAATTGATAGAGTAATGGATTATATTAATAATGGTGCTTTCCCTTGCAAGCAGTATAAAACAACTCAAAGCCTCTTCAAACAAAAAACACACAAACAAACAAAAAAGAGAGAATTATTTTCTTGTATGACTAAAAAGTTCAGAGGGTATTTGAATTTGGGCAGTGATGGATCTAGGGCCTCATATAATGGTACCGGATTCAATTTCTCTCTGTCCTTCTTGATGGGCTTTATTCTCGGGCAGGGTGATATATCCTGTTACTTTACATGCTTTCATAACTCTAGTCTATGACTGGGTTTCATTCTGATTGGCTTAATCTGAATGAATCGCTGTGGTTACTCCTGTTAGGACTTAGAATTCTCTCGTGCCTCTCCTGGATCCAGGTGTGAGGTTTACCTTCCAGAAGGACATGGGTTCAGAATCGAAGGGGAGCAGTGCTCTAGAGAAATGCTGGGCATGCAAAACACACGTCTGCCACATACATGTAATATGATGATTAACTTTTAACATGCATTCATTTTTTAAATGATTTTTATTTTTTTTAAATTTTAAGTATTTATTGATGTTAGAATGAGAGAAACATTGCTTTGTTGTTTAACTTATTTATGCGTTCATTGGTTGATTCTTGTATGTGCCCTGACTGGGGACCGAACCTGCAGCCTTGGCACATCTGGACGACACTGCAACCAACTGAGTCACCTGGCCAAGGCAACATGCATTCATCTTAATGTTCTCACATTGTTTTAATACGATGTTTAGGATGTTGATATAGCAACACACACCACATTATTTGAAAATTACATCTATGTAAACAGAGTCTTATGAATATTTATGAAGAGAAAAATAAGAGACTTTAAGAATAAAAACTTTGCTTTTGAAAGTATCTATAGGTCAGGGTTTGGCTCAAATGCTTATTTGTGAAATTAGAAATGGAGAATATCCTATTGCACATATGGTGTTCTAGGTGATAGTCATTCTGAACATACTGAACTGCCATGAGTCATGTTGAGGGGGGATATTCATCAACTCCCAGGAATGTCCTTTTTAATCTATTGGTGGTTTATTACAAAGATAAACCATAATTTTAACCACTATAATTTTAAAGTTTGCAAACAAAACCAGCAGTTATATGTAACTGAAGTTATTTTTAATATGTTGAATAAAATAACAATAATCTATTCAAGATGATGGAACACAAAACTCAGGCTTTAAAGATTTTCATCTGAAGGGAGGGTGAGAAAGTAATATAATAATTTCTCCCCAGAACCAGCTAATCATTTCTATGGTACAAGAGCAAAAGGATAGTGTGCACATTCACTTCTGAAAACAGCAATGATGTATTAGAATCTAGATGTGATAGGGCGAATATTACATCAAATTTACCTATGATAATACTGAAACATTTCATTACATGCCAAAAAATATTGTATACTAAATATTACATTGCTTCTTTCTTTTTGTTTTCATGTATTAAAATTAATGTGATCTCAAATAGCAGCATGTCACATTCCTACATAAGGCACATTTTAATGTGCTATATTAACAAGAAAACTGCCTAGAAGAGATTGTTTGTTTTTAATGTTGACAAATTGAGGTTATGTGGCAGGAGAAACAGTGGAAACATAGCAAGATAGAAAATATTTATAATTATTACAATATATAATATTTTGAGATGATGAATCTGTATTAATTATTATATAGGCTGAAAATAACTGACAAAATGTACCTGCTACATATAAATATACAAAATAATAAAATGCATAGATTGATATCCTTAAAAATTGACACTCATAGTGATTTGCCATTTAACTTTGTTTTAATTCATGAAGTTTATTTGTAATCCATCTACACTAATAAAAGAGAAACATGGTAATTAGCGTACGACCCCTACCCGTCCCATTGGCTAATCAGCATATCCTTATGCAAATTAACTGTCAGCCAAGATGGCGGCCCGCAGCCATGCACTGAAGCGAACAGGGAGGCTTGCTTGCTCCAGTGACAGCGGACTCCAACGTTCCCCCACTGACTTGCCGGCCTCTTAGCTGCAACTCTAAGCAACTATGTTGCAAATATAGAAGCTAAACAAAACCCTAGAAACCGGCTTTCAGCCAGCCTGGCTTCAGCCAGCTGGACCGCAACATTGTATCAAATACAGAAGGTAAAGGCCAGAAACCTGCTTTCAGAGGCCTCAGAGCTAAAGCTAGCCCAGAATAGGAAAAAGAAAAAGAAAAAAAGGAGCAGTTGGGAGCTTCAGTCACCCGCCAGCCTGAAAACGGCCCTCAGCCCCTCACCCAGACTGGCCAGGCACCCCAGTGGGGACCCCCACCCTGATCCAGGACAGCCTTCAGGGCAAAGCAGCCGGCCCCCACCCGTGCACCAGGCCTCTATTCTATATAGTAAAAGGGTAATATGCCTCCCAGCACTGGGATCAGCGGAGCAGCGAGGCTCCCGGCACCTGGATCAGCGTGACAGGGGGCAGCGACCAAACCCCCTGATCGCCCTGCGGCTCTGTGAGTGACAGGGGGCGGGGCCACAACCTCCCTATCCGCCCTGCTCTGTTCGTGACAGGGGAAGGCGCCCCAACCCCCTGATCAGCCCTGCTCTGTGCCTGATAGGGGGGAGCTCCCCAATCCCCTGATCGCCCTGCGGCTCTGTGTGTGACAGGG